GTAATTGGTAGCTAGATATAAAAATGAAACGTGAGATCAACTACCTCGACCCTCACGTTTGGAAAGATGTCAGTGAATCTACCAGATATTTTTGCGTCACAAATCACAAAATGTGTAGATGCGGGCAGGGTAAAAGATTGCGTTTGAAAAAGTTAGTGAACCAAGTCAGAGTTTCAGTCACACAAATACCCTTAGGAAAAGAATGAATAATCTTCTACCCATCCTCAGAAAAAGGCAGACTGTGCCCTCCAACCGTGAATGTCAACATAACTTGATGAAAACTCGATTTAAATAATCGACAGAAACTATTTTAACAACTTCACTCTCTCGGCAATTTCATTTACAAGAGTATAACAAATTATTTACCTCTTATAAAGCTTTATTATTTATAATTTTATAAAGAAATAAATGTCAAAAGAAATATTTAATTTTAAATATTAGAATAAAATTACAAAATTGTCGAAATATTTAAACAATGTACAATGGAATATTTAATATTTACCATTTTATTTACCATTTTTCATTTATAAATAATGAATTATAAATCAAAACTACTAAAACAAGTTTTTGTCATTTTTCATTTAATTTTATTTTAATTTCAATGAATTATAAAAGTCAAAACTTGAATAAAAATTAATCATTTTTATTTTTTACTGGACGTTTTTTTGACGTCTACTTATTATTTCATCCATTTAAGATTACACACACACACACACACACACACATTATTTTAATTTTAATTTCATAAAATATTTGGGTTTTATGGTAAAAGAAAATAAATGGTTTTAAAGTTTTAGATAACCATCACTTTTAAAAGAATAACCAATCAAAAATAACCAAAGTACAGAAAGATTCAAAAGCTTGAATACTATTTAGATCTTTAAATACGTGTAATATTAAAATAATTTTTACTAACTAATAATTATAAATTTATATGGGAAATTTAACATTAAAATTAAAATTAATCGATGTTTATTGCTTTACGGATGTGGAGATATATGTTTATTCAATTCACTAGTATCATTTTGATCGTCTATATTTTTTTTCTTTTTCCAAGTTTGTGAATTCAAATCACGCGAAGGTCACATCCATCAATACACACACACACACACACACACACACACACGCACACACACACACACACACACACACATACAAATGTACACACACACTAAAAAAATAAAAAAAAAGGATATATATATATATATATATATATATATATATAGACATATATATATATATATATATATCATAAATATTTCAGACTTAAATAAATGCTAACCACTTATTAAATTATAACTTCTGTCCGAATTTTATTTAATAAAAAACGAAAAGATCAAGTTACCATATGTTACATTTAATTACAGATTCAATCAACAATGTATTTTCTCTGATTATCGTTGTCTTAATCCTTCCATCTATTAACAAGTTACCATACTTTAATTCCATTACTGTAAAATTCTTTTGGCTTTGATTCGAAGAACTCACAAAACTGTCAGTTTTAACCTCTTCCTGTGTTACAAAAGCTGTTTCTTCCAAATGATTCTGTAAGCTACGAAACAAATGGTAGTCTGAAGGAGCAAGATCGGGAGAAGAAGGTGGATGAGGAATTTTCTCTCAACCAAGTTCTTCGATCTTTTGTGACGTGATTCTTGCTGTGTGGGGTCGCGCATTGTCCTGATGAAACATCAGCTCTTTTCGATTCACTAGTGTAGCTCTTTTTTTCTCAAAGATTGGTTCAAATGCTCTAATTGCTGACAGTATATTTGAGCATAAATTGTTGCATTAAGTGGTATGATTTCAAAGTGTATTATTCCTTGGCGATCCCACCATGACGTTCCATTCTCGGCTTTGGCTGGGGTCCTTCCCTTTTACCAAGCAACTGTCTACGACGCTTAACATTTCCATAAAAGATCCATTTTTCGTCGACAGTCACAAGTCTATCCAATAAAGGTGAAACAAGTTGGCGAGAATGGAGAGAAGAGCAGATGTCAACTCGGGATTTGAGACTGTTTTCAGACAATTCATGAGGCACCTATTTTCCAAGTTTAGGAACTATTCCAAGTTGTTGAAGATGACGATGAGCAGTTGTATCGTTTGAACTGAGAACCACTGCCAATTCCTCAACTGATAAAGTAGGATTTTCTTCAAGGGCTGCTTCAAGAAGTTTTTCGTCAAACTCAACTGGACGTCCGGTTCGATCTTCATCTTCAATGGTGAAATCTCCACCTCTGAATTTTCCACACCATCTTCTGCAATTTTTTTCATTCAAACATTCCTCTCCATAAACTGAGTGAATGTTTCTAGCCGCTTCGGCTGTTGAGTTTCCGTTCTGGTACTCATAAAGCATTATGTGCCTCAAATGATTCTTGTGTACTTCCATGTTAGCAGAGTTTTAATCGAACAAAATTTAATTCTATTGTTCTATGAAATAACATTTGATCATTTTAAATGCATCTAAACATAAAAATAATGTTCAGCTCCATTAGGCATTATAAAATACCTTTTAAATTTCATTCATTTAAAAAAAAGTAAAATTCGGACAGAACTTATGGGATGACCTGATATATACATACATATATATTTAAAAAAAAATATGAATCCATCCCGACGCAAATTACTATTATTCAAAACAGAAACTTAAATGTTAAATTAAACTTTAAACTTAAAATTTGAAGTTTGGTCCCATTTTTAAGCTAGGTGTTGTGACAAACTTTCGAAAAATTGATTTACTCTATTTATAAGTTAAATAGTACTACAGTGTAACCCGGGTATAAGAGACCCGGATATAAGAGCGATTTTCTCTGGTCCCAAATTAGAGCCTGTGTTAATGTATATAAATTAGACCAAACCCGATATAAGAGAAACCCGGATATAAGAGACTTCTTCTCCGGTCCCGACAACTCTCTTATATCCGGGTTACACTGTATATATTTTAAATTGATTGGCTAATGAAAATTCGGATATTTTTTTTATTTTTCATTAAGCGGGCGTTGGCGAATAGACGAATGCAGAAAGCAATTGCAATTTTATGTCGCAAATTTAAAGTCGGCTAAAGTTGGGTGGGGGTTTAAGGTTTCTGTCTGTTTATTCTCATTTTCTGTCAAGACTGTTTTGGATATAATAACATCGTTTTTAGGTACAAGTCTTAGTATTTAACCAATAGCTGGGGGAAGAATAGCTGGATTCCTATTTTTACACCATCTACACACTCAACAAAGATAAGAGAAAAATTGTAATAAAAATGACAAAGTTGAAGAAATTATTAAGAACGATATTAGTACCCGCTCCTTAACAATAACCCATGCAACAGCCCAATCTTGAAAAAGACAATAAAGAAAAGTAATCCGATATGAAGAAACAGCGTGTTAGTTAACTTAAATAATTCAACAATATCCATGCGTTAACTTTTTCTAACGTCAGAATACAAAAAGAAAAAAAAAGAATAACATGACCGAACAATTCCACTGATTGTCTTCTCTTAGTTACGTAGTAAAAATATAAAATGCAAGGACATCTAGTAAGTAAATAAGTTGTATTATTGGAACGATACCAAACCGAAGACTCGAAGACAAGGCATGACTACATTTATTGGTAGTGTCACGAGATAAAAGTTCATAAGTCAAGTAGGATGCAATTATATTTTCTTTTAAATGAAGTTAATTCATTAAAGAGACAAATTAATTAGAAAGCAATGACTAGGGGCCAGTCAGTCATGTGGATTTGATTATATAGTAATTCATGATGCGAGAAATTGAGGAGCCATTGTAACTGGCTTGTTTGATTTGAGCTAAGCCCGTTTTTCTGACATTTCATAATTAGACTCTCAGTGTAGACTTGGAGGTGAATCGGGAACAGAAACTTGGTGCGACTTATAGGCAATAATAAAGTAATATTTATAATTATGATGGTAATTACGAAACGAAAATAAAATGTACTGAAATGTACGCATTTCTCGAATTTGAGGATGTCCTGACCTCAACGTCGACATCCAAATTTCTTTCGCTTAAAGTATAAATCATTTTCTGACTGTAGATGTGTAAGTGTAAAAACTATTTGGTATTTAACATTGATATCACATCTCATAGATGCAAAATGCTGGGTAAATGAAGCATTACTTATATAGGTATAGAAATGTCAGACCTCTCTTATCATGCTCTATCCTTACAAGTATCAAAAAGAGCAGGCAATAGCCCAGTGTTATTATATGTGGCCAAGGGCTGCCCATTTCTCTCTTCTCAGTCTTTATCGAGTTCAAGAGCGTATGCCTGGCCTTGTGGGTGATGAATTATATTCCAACATCCATCACCTTTCACTCAGCCTAAAGTCCCAAGCCTCTCTCTACTCTATCGCTGCGTATATAAAGCTAAATTATATTGTTTCCTTGGTATGCAATTGGTAAGAAGGTAATTAAGTTTGGGATACTTCTTTCAGATACTTATCTGAATACTACAATATTTGCGTCTTTGGTCAAGAGTTATATATCCTAATTATCTTCAATTAAGACTCTCCACTACATCCATACGTGTGTGTGTAGTTTATATTTGGTGGCAATAATTTAATTTTAAAAAGTTGTAATAAATTAATCCAACAAGGTTTTTATGTTTAAGTTTTCATTGTGTTTTTCCTGTTTTCGAATAAGCTTTTTCATATTTGGTTTAGAGTTGCGGATAAACTATTCGAAATGTATATTTTTGTTCTCTTTTTTGTTTAGAATATTTTGGGTCATTGATTTATTAACTGATTCGTTTTCAACGTCTTAACTCCCATTAGCGGGTCATTTGAAGCCAGAAAATAGTTATGGATTTTTTAAAGATGATAACGGTTTAGTCATAAACGTATTATTAATAAATTCATACTGGAGGAGAAGAGGTGGATTCATGCCTTTCCCAAGAGTATTTCCCCGTAAGTGAATACAACGAAACAAACTGTCATTGCGCCCCACTTTCTAATTAAAAATTCCGAGTAATTAAACATTACACCACTCGTACATCCAAATTTGTAACACATGGCATTCTCAAACGCTCACCAATCTACTTACTGACACGGATCAACGTTGCTTAACTTCAGTGATCGTATGGGAACCAGCGTTTCAAGTTGCTGTGATCATAAGCTTATTTGGGGTCATGTTTATGTTTTATTTTCGTAAAAAACGGTGGTTATCTATAACCAACCGTTTTATTTCAAATACTGCTTCAATACAGACAGAAAATATAATACCAAAAATTAGCAGTTTTAAGATCAATATTTTAGGCATATGTGAAACACTGTTGGCAAACAATAGCGGTTTGTTTGGTGAGAAACACAGGTCATATACTAAAGCAGGGAAAAAAAGGATAGAGGAGTGGGATACATACCAGACCAAGACATGAAGAAATGAGTTCTGGGATACTGTCAATAACTCATGTCGTTAAACTGGAAAAAAACTTTTCAACATAGTCATCATACTTTTGTATGTGCCAACAGCACAACGGACAGAGTAAAATAAATGTCCTAATCTACGTTAGATAACACCAAGGCTCGATACAAATAGCTAGAAATTATACTAGTTATGAGAGCTCTAAAAGTCAATATAGACGACGAGATAGATGGTGAAAAATTTATACTAGAAAGCCGCAATGAACAAGGAGAAAAATTAAAATGCAAATGAATTGGTAGTAGTAAAAAATCCCTTGTTTCAAAATCGCACAAGACGAATCTGGACACAGGAAAGTCCAGGAAGAGAAACTAAAAAAAAACATATCGATGACAGAATTATCAACAAGAGATTCTGGAATGCAGTTTTACAGTACAGAACCTATCCAAGCGCCGATTGTGGAAGCAATCAGCACCCAGTGATAAGTAAACATAGACTGAAACTACGGAGATTGAAGAGGACTAAAGTAGCAACCAAATTGCAATACAAGCTCTTGAACGACCTGAATCTAAAGGAGAAATAGATAGATAGTGGGAAAAGCATATCCGACAGACAATATAGAAATTGAAACTCGAAGTTGGAACTATCGATATCCTCCAAAAGGAAAATAGACGAAGAAATAAGGAATGGATGAAAATGAACTTCTCAACACGATGGAAAGGAGACAAAAAAAAAACTGCCAAAATCCGGAAGATAAAATATGCAGAAATAAAAAGAATGAACATCACAAATTCATCAGATATGCATAAAAAAGATAAGAGAGGTAGGAGGAAAATGAACATGACGCATAAAACCCAGAGATGGAACGCTATAAAGGAAAAATAAAAAAAAATACTTCAGAGATGGAACGAATATATCGGAGAACTCTTTCACGACGAAAAAGAACAAACAACAATATCGACGGACTGAAAATATTAATATCTGAAGTGGAATCTCTACTCTCCAAGTTGAATAGAAACACAGCGGCAGGGACAGACAGAATAGTATTAGACATCTTAGCAACCTTAGATAAATTAAGTTTAGACAACATTGCAGAAATAAAATAAGAAACCTACAACACTGGTTATATACCGGAAGACCTAAGTAGATCTATTGCCATAGAACTGCCTCAGAAGTCTGTTAGAAACGAATGTGAAATCCAACGGACAATCAACACAGGGAAGCATATAACTTTATCCTTCAAATTGTGATAAATAGTGCGCGCACAAAATCAGAATGGAAACAGACAGAAACAGTGCAGGTTCATCAAAGACGCCGGAACAATGAACACGATATTTATTCTCAGAATATTATCAGAAAGGTTATTACAAATGAAGAAGGACGTGTGCATGTGTTTTATAGATTAAGCAAAGGCGTTTCATAAATTTCGCCTCAACGATCTGTTCAAAATGATCGGCAAACGTGACATATCTGGAAAATATATTAGAATAATCAAGAACCACTTGCGTGCGAATAGATGAGTTCAGATATCTGTATAACAAATTCGAATGTCAAAGGGTCCCTGTGTCACACTTTATAACTTTATTCCTACAGGTTGTAGTCCCACAACTCGAACCATTTTAGAATCAGACCGAATCCGTCAGAAAATTAAAAAATATTCCGGATCGGATCCGGACAAGCAATCCTATAATATTGGATTCCCAAGTTTACAGTACGGCAATTGTTTTCGGATTCAGCCATCTTGTCTTCTACTGATAAAAGGAATTAAAGGGACACTATAACTTTCAATAACTCATGTTCAAATGAGAAAATGATACTGCTGTCAAATTACAGCGTTTCAAAATAAAATTGTCCGTGTTTTCAATTGGAATCCTAGAGACCGTAGCCCAACATATCAGGCCATTTTGGAATCAGTTCAACTCTCTCAGTAAATTAAATAGCGGTGTAAGAAAAGGTTGTCTCTTCGCACCAGATTTATTCGACCTACACAGTGAGCCGATACCGAGAGAATTAGAGGTCCTACCATTATTAATTATTGGCGTACACAATCTTAACAACATAATATATGCAGATAACACAGTGCTGAGAGAAAACACGGGGAGAAAAATCTCTAAACGAAAGCAAGAAGGATTGAACATCAACTACAAGTAGACAGAATGCAAGTTTGTTTGAAAAATATGAGCAAATTGCTAATTGGAGATACCAAAAACAAACTAATACAACATTTTATATATAGAAGAAGTGTTTTAACACCG